AAAAGGTTCTTATTTAGTCCAAGCAGTCAACAAGCAGAGTCATATGTGGGCCTTTGAGCACCCTCCAGGCTTTAGGAAATGAAGAAGGCAATCAAAATGGAAATGTTGCTGCTTTGAAACTACATTTGAATCTCCAAACAGTTCTTCTTGGCCTTATCTTTCACTTTGGTAATGAATCATGTCTGCCCTCTCTCCAATTGAGCCTTTATCTGCTCTCACGCTGTCTTTGCACTGTCATACACACCCTTTCTCTCTCTCTCTCTCACACACACACACACACACACACACACACACACACACACACACACACACACACACACACACACACACACACAAAACCACACACAAATAAACAAACTGAGCTTCGTCACCATCCACCTGAGTCACACAGGATAATCTCTCTGGTTGATGAAGTCACAGGCAGCCCTGTCAGCATGTGTGTGTTTGTATATGTGTTTGTTTACATGCGTGTATCTACCATTATCTACTGTACAGTAAATATGTCATACAGTAGGTTGCATTGCTCAGAGGGGTTGTGTTAGGCAGCATGTCTGCTTGATGACTCCAGTGTGTGTGGGTAGTGTCGAGAGTGGTGTCACCAGTGGAGACAGAAGCGGGGACTCTTCAGGGTGCCACTTGGAAAGTAAAACACCATTATGTCTAGATTGTGAGCCCACCCACAGGAAGCTCCATTTTAAGCATTTTAAAGCTCGTGCTGGAAGTATTAGATGACTGACATGTTAATAAAGATTTTACCTTTAGAAACAACCACTTTGAAACTTTTAAAACTAAGATGTGGAAATGTGTTTGTTTTTGTATGCATCTAAACATGACTCGGACTCGGAGTGTGCATACTACAGACTGTATATGAAAAGGTGCATACAGATTCCCTTCAGTCACTTTCAAACCTTTTTTTGACATCAACACCTACAGCATATCACTTTGGTCAGTGTTCTCACAGCCTACTCCGTGATTAAAGGGGAACTCCACTGATTTTACACACAGAAGTCAGTCCACGAGTCATGGGGAGAACTACTCAGCGTGTAAAAACAGTTGTATGATATCTCCTCTTCAACACTGTGAAACTTTGCTTGGGTCCGAAGACCAGGCATTTACCAGGCAGGATATAAAGATATTATTAGTTGGGTAATAGGAAAGGTAGGATCCAGGCTTTACTGATATTAGGAACTGAAAGTCAGGATATCTTGCCCTCAGCTGCATTCATTTTGACCATTCTGTTTGTAATCTCTTAAATGAGTCCCCCAAGTTTAGGGAATGTTAACACAGCGTTAACTAGCGGGCCTAATTAAGTTCCCCCCCTCAGCTTGACCTTGAGAAAAGGTGTAGCTTGTCAAACGTTTGATTCTCAGTTTTGGCACCTAAATGCAATTTATACGGTCTCCTGCAGTAAAAAATGGCTCATGTTCAGCAAATATACTCTTCAGTCAGCATTTTTCAGGTTGCTGTTCTTTGTGGAGGCTTAAAACTTTATTTTCAGTCGTGTTTTAGAGCAGAGATTCCAACCAGCTGGTGGTTCAGGTCCATTCAAAGTGAGCCAAGTTCTCTACTTTGACATAATTATATATTTTGACATGTTATGTATTTTAGATTTCATTTTGTGAAATATAAGCATGGTCTCCTCACAGCAACAAGGTCCTGGGTTAGAATCCTCTGACAGGCAGAATGGATGGATGGGAATAAATTCACTGGGTTTAGTTGGTCTATCGTGGACTGTGACCTGATGTCTAAGGGAAAATTTGAACCCCAAGACTAGACCAGTTAGGAACCACTGTTTTAGAACTTCTCAGATAGTCAAGTTTTGGATGTTGGAAGACCTTTTATTTAATACTAGTGCAAAGAGGCTGGTGTCTAATCAGCCTCCATTCAATTCAGAGTTCCAGAAGCAAAACCATTGAAATCCAAAATGCATCACATTTGTTCACATGCCTGCCATTGACACAAATGAGTGACGAACACACCACCGTCTATTTTGTGCCTCTGTCCGCATTTCCATCTGAATGATGAGCTATTCTTAGATCTGTGGGAGGATAGATGGGCATCATTTAGATTTTCATTTTCAAAGGCTTCTCTCCTCGTTGCTGCAAGCCATTTTCAATCGACCATTTGTTGGTGCACAGCAAAATGCACAGGCTAATGCTAATTATGTGCACAAAACCTACTGTAAATGATGGCTTTGGAGTTGTGGAGAAAAGGTTTTTGACAATGACAAATGGCTTCATGACAGTTTGCATGGCTTCTCTGTGAACAAGACCTTATTAATATTCAGTTGCGCATCAGTTGGCAAAAAAGACCAAACTTAGACCAGTGGAGAAAAAGCTGTTAACATATTTTAATCTTTGTGGATGGATGCGAGTCTTATCTTTGATTTAATTTGAGTAAATTCAGACAATCAATAAAAAACTCCTGCGTGTGACAAATGAGCCAGCTGATAAGAAACCAGCTGTTTTCTACACAGCATGACAGCTTTTATTAGTTATTCTGAACACACTCTTAGGCCAAGTGTGTATGTACAGTCAAAACTATGAGTCCACTCACTGTTGACTTTTTCTTGACCTCCGTTAAGGCATAATTTTCCCATAATCATTTGTGGTTTTTTGTTATGACAGTAAGGTGGAGCGCATGGTGCTGTGCTCCACCTTCCTCCTCACTACTCCCACAACCTTTCTTTGGAATTTTCAACATTGTGTAATTCTTAGGACTTATGTGCTAGTCTCTGCCTTTACGCTTGAAGCAATAAGAAAATGTGGGAAATATTTCCCCTCACCATGTGAAATGAGCTATTTCTTCCTTCTTAAAACTTTATTTTTTTTATTTGAGCAAATGACATTTGTCCAAAGAAAGCAGGGCAGATACGTTCGCATCAACATATGTTCATATCTTAAAGTGCACTTTTTCAAATAAGGTAGCAACTAATACAAAAAAATATGAGTTTGGGGAGGACACAAAGAAAAAACGAGGTCCATCCCACCATACCCCAACCACCCTACCCTACCATCAGCTCACTACTCAGCTGGTGTCAGAGGGGAAATATTAAACTTGGGTCACATGCTCAAGATAAAGAGTGAGAGGTACCCAGATCTTGTGTTATTAAGGAATTTTGTTCATTAGAATATAACTTATTCCTTCTAAATACAGTGTATTTGTGAAGTCACTAAGCCACATCTTTGTGGTAGGGGACTTCTGTCTTCTTCCAGTGTGTAAGACCTATTATTTTTGCAAAGATGAGGCTATAGGATTGGAAACATTTCTGAGTGTCATAGTATCGTAAATAAGCTCTTTCTCTGTGGTTGTCCTGAGATGACCTGAGATTCGAGTTGAGTTTTTGCATCTCTGAATCTCTGAAGACTCAACTTGACTTGAGACTTGAAGGCAAGCTGAGGAGACTAGAGTAACTAATGAAAATACTCTAATGAATGTAGTTGTCCTTTGGAGAGCTGCCAAACTGTCATAAATAATTAATAACTTAACAAGGATGCAGCAACATCTTCAACCTAATGCGCATGTTTAGTTGCAGCTGCTGGCACTAGCAGAGAAAACTTTAAATTCAGCTTATAGAAATTGGTCTTTACTTACAAAATTCCACACACATAAGTAGCTTGATAGTTTCCAGGATGTTACACAGCCAGGACACTGCGTTTCAGAATCCTCCGAGTTCTATCCAACTATTACAACTGTTTAGCCATGTTAGTTAAGTTGAATACAGCACAGTATGCCTGTGTGTGCATTCAACTAATGTTGATTTGGAGTTACTTTTTTCTTTTGTCCAACAAGGCTGTACAGCCCTCGAGCTGTCCTAATCAGACACCAGATTTATTATTATTTTTAAAGAGAGGTTTAACTGGTGGTGAAAGGCTTAATCAGCACTGTGTGAACTCATTTGCAGAGGACTTTAACAGGGCGGACATGAATTTATATTATAGTGATCCAGGTCATAGTTATCCAACAAAGGTTAAAGTCGAGGGCAACTGGACTTGGTTGAAGATACTGGAAAGTATCCAGTTGTTCCAGTATCTTCAAGTTTCCAGTATCTTCAACCAAGTCCAGTTTCCCTCGACTTTAACCTTCGTTGTACAAAAAGGAAACTTAAAATGCAGTTGTTTGGTTATACTGATAGGATCTGCTAGTTGAGCTCGATGGCACAATGATGGTCACCTTAAGAAAGATGGTTTGTAACTCGCTGTTGTTGTTTCGCTTTCAGATACGTTATTATCACGCCATAGACTTTCTGATCACGTAAAGAACTTGGCCTAGGTGCTGCATCTCAACATATGTCATCTTTGACATTTGACATAATGTTACGTGATGTAGGCTATTTGCATGATACGTGCATGCTTAACCTGGTAAACGGTAGTCATCCACTTCTGCATTGCTTTTAAAATGACATAACAGCATTTCTTAATGCCCTGTGATTGGCCTGCTATAATGGGAATGACATTAAAATAGATAGCAGCAGACGAAGTCCTCCTCTATGTGTCTTTAAATGAGAATTAAAAGCCAATAAGCGATTCCCTAAGACCTTTAACCCGTCCTCAGGGTATTCCCTTTGTTTTTGCCCCACATCAGAAAAAACGAGGGAGTGACTACTTCGGTTGGTTAGTCACTGGAGAGCTGCAGCAGAAGATTTCCTGATTAAACAAGCATGCGCTAATCACTAATGGAGCTGTGCTGCAGGATTGAATCGGGAGGATGTCAAAAGAATAAATGAACAAGTGAAGGAGAATGACGAGGATGCCACAGGCATGAGTCACTCCTTTTATTGTCTAATTCCACTACTTCAGTAGATAGCAGCCAACTAATGTGCTCAGTGTTAGGTTTGCTTTTGCTCAGTAGTTCACATAAATTTCCATAAAGCCAGATGGACACAAGTTGAATTGTCAAGATTTTCTTGGTGGCAGAGCAACCATGGCAGTAACTTGATGCTCTGTGCAATCGAAATATGTGAATTTACAGGCTAACTGTAGTCTTTTTTTTCCAATCAGTGCTCTGGGAGGCTCCTCAGCACTTCATATCCCAGCATTCCCCAGTGGAGGATGCCTAATTGACTATGTCCCTCAAGTGTGCCAGTTACTCACAAACAAGGTAAAAGTGTTTGGTTCTCATTTTTCTTTTACACAGTGTGGTTAAATGTGCTTTGTGTGTTGTGTATGTGTTATGTATTTGGATATCGTAAAGAAATAAAGGTTATTAGTGTTGGGGTCTGCTTTATTTTACGTTATTTGTGGCCATTAATGTCTAGCTATTTTAAATAAACACAAGACTCTTTACTCTTTGTGTGTGTATGTGTGTGACAGGTATATGAATCATTTATTGCAAATTTGTAAGCTTTGGTGCAGCAAAGCATGCGTCCACTGAGGGATGTCTTTTGTCAAGCTGTGTATTTGTGTGTGTGTGTGTTAATGTGCATCCATGCACGTGTGTCTGGCTTCAGCCAACGTGGGCGTACTGGCCAACCTCCATAGGCTGTCTGAGCGCTCCTTAGCCTCTGCAGGTTGACAGGTAGGTATGCAGTGTAGAGGCAGCATAATGCCATTTCCCTCAAGGGAAATGCCCATCCCCCACAAATCCCCCCAACACACACACACCTAATGCACACAGATACCGTCCATCTCTTCCTGTTCACCTGGACTCTGACCAGCATGCTCAGTGTGTCTGGAGCTCATGTGGCCCTGACTGACCTCCATGTCTCTGGGTGTTAAAGTCCAGCAGTGTCAGAGGCACTCCCTCCACTTCCCTGATAGAGTCAAGGAGGTCACAGCCTGTGTTTGGAAAGGCATGTTGAAAAGCAGAGTCAATAGCAGATAAAAGGCAGTGTGACACAAGGAAGGAGGAGTCTTGCTCATAATGTCACCATCACTATTAAATTTTAAAGAGCACATATACATTTCTAAGTTTACAGTGCAAGACAAATACTGCCTCTAAAGCCCTTTTTAATCAGAGATCCTGCAGCACTGCCATAAAAAAGACCTGTCACTATGCTTTGCTTTTTTACACTGAACCAAACAGCTCCAGCATTCTCCATGCCAGCGTCACTCTCACTGATTTCACTCAGGACTGTTGGTTTTCTAGCAGTATGCAAAGTGTAACCGGCACGAAGTGCTGCATTCTGGTCAACTGTTGTTGTTATTAAAGTCAAAAGTATTTTAGCATTTCCAATAAATAACATAAATTCAGCTTTAGGGATTATTGTGTTTTCGGTGTCAGAGGAGTCGTGTGACTTAATACTCAACAACAAACATCTTGCTCCCCTGAAAGCAGTGTGAAGAGCACTGCAGCCAACACAACACAGCCATGTGAAACAGCATTGCCTTGTTAGCCGTGTATCATGCTATGTTGCTGCCGTTTAATATGAAATGCACACAATCCTTTGAACGTAATCAGTAGTGATCTGTCCAAATTAAAAATGTTTAGTGTATAAGCGCAACAGGCTTATTACTCCAGTGGGGGACATTTGTAGAATTCTGTCACTTGGATCTATTTCTGTTTCATGCCTTTTCACGTGCATGCTGGGAATGGATTATCATAACACAAAAAAAGTGAGACCTAATGTGTGGAACCATTTCACATTACCACCACAAACAAATCTGGAGTCATTTGTTAGTGCCCTGATAACTAGACTGAATTGACTGTTTCACCCCAACTCGCTGAGCAAATCGCAGATGTGGGCAGGCATTGATTCAGATGTCCGGAACCACGCCAAACCGTTCTTGCTCATGAGTTCGGGCTGCACGATTAATCTAGTCGCAATCGCTATGTCGTCATGTGCGATTACATAACCGCAAAAAGTGTGCGATTTAATAAAACAGAAAAAGTGTACGTGACACTCTGGTTTCTGTGTGTGCGCTGCAGTCTGCTCATTATCTTCGCCCACACTGGGCTCTTGCATGTGTCCCTAAAACAGATAAGCCTACGTGCAATAAGAAAATTGTTTTATGAGCAGCGTGCAAGTAACTTTTAAGACAACAACCTACCGTAACCTTTATTGTTTAACTTTGTTCAGGTTGAGAAATGCACATTTCAAAATGTCAGTATTCCGCGCATTCCTTGATAATTAAGCAAGCGGACTCATAGTACCATTCGTTCCATTATAATCTAATCGCAAGTCGCAATATTGTCCACAATATGACCAATAGCCCTAGAGGCAATGCAAATGAGCAAAACAACATCAATTCCACAATGTAGTTTCTGATTAGGCTACTGTACGTGGGTTGTGTTCAAACTATGTGTTAGTTCCCATTCGTTTGAAGTGGATTTTTTGAAAAGTGAAAGCTTTCATTATATTTGAGATTTTAAAGTAACTTCCACAGAAAAGACTGGCTAATGTTAGTTAAGATAGTTTGAAAGCTAGTAATCCAACCAGCTTAAGCAGTGTTGATTGGGATTCAACAGTATCTACAGATCTTCTAGACAGTGACATTAGTGTAGAGCGAACTTTAAACAATACTACTATTATTATAACAGACTTTTACACCTCTGTTTTTGGAGAATGTGACAATCGTCTTGGTGCTTATTGTTTAAGCACATGCCAACTTCATCCACATCTCCATAAAACGGTTATTTTTGTACCTCTTTCTTTGACCTCAAAATGTTACTTGTCATTTGTTGTGGCCTTTCAATGGTCAAACATAAAGGGACTAAAAGTTTAAATTGCTTAAAGTGCTTAGACAGCATGAAGTAGCAATTAGCATTGTCTCTTGCAGACATGTGGCTCATTTCTGTGGCAGAAGTGGCATTGGGCATTGTTTGGAGTCACTTCCAGGCAAAGAAAAGAAAACCCGAGCTAATAAGTGGATTCATCAGAGGAGAAAGGCAGAAGCTGAAATTGTAAGCAGAGACACAAAGCGATATTCGGCTTCTGTACGTGTGTTATTGATTGTGGCCAAAGACTGGTGGAGAAAAACAGGCAGGCTGTGCAGTCATTTTGTTCTTTTAACACCATCAGCCTCCCACTTATTCCAGATGCTATCATTGTATTGACACAACTATACCGCCACATACCTCAGCTGTGCTTGTGACTATGATTGTGCCAAGTGATTGCAGCACCTGGTATCTGCATCATTAAAAAAATGACACATGAAAATCCGCTTCAGACACTAAAAGGCCCTGAGGGGTTTTCAGTCATCTCCAGTGTACACACAGTATGTGATCAACTCACACAAGACAATTAATTAGTTGCTTTCAGTCCATTTCAATGAAATCATCTGTAGTTGTTAGTCAGGTTGGAAATTGGCCTATGAGAGAGAAGCTGGGAGTAACTAGTAATGAATGAACCACTTCAACTTACTCTTATGAGAGCACTAATGTTTCTACAAGAGACCAATTTCCAACAGGTTCTAAAGAGTAGCCTTCATCCAGAAATGTCAATCCAGTCACAACACACAAAACTTGTAAGTAGAGTATTTGTTCACATGTCTGCCATTCTCATTGCATTTTCAAACATGCTATGCAAAGTAAATATTAGGAGGAGAAGCACGGTCAACAAAAACAATCGTAGTGATCGCCCTGTTGTTGGACACATTACTATACCAGCAACAACTCTGGTAATATTTGAGGAGGGAAAATGTTGTTTTTCTGCTGCTGATTGCTAAGTAAACAGGCCACAAATACTGTGGTGGCATCTCACTTGTAAAACAGCAAAATAACACATTTAAAATCACAAGGATCTCAGTACACTTTTCCAGTGCATTACAATAATAATAAAGTAATATTATGTAACACAAAAAAACTAAATACAAAAATGACCTAGGAAAATACAAGTGATACTTTCTCGATTGGGAAGAGATATAGAAGTTTCAGCTGTCGCACCACCAGACAGCTTTTCCCCCAAGCTAAAATCCATCCTCAGCACTGCTCCATTGATTATAGTAAATTTCTGTTTACCGTTTTTATAATAATATATTAATGAATATTGTCTGCTATGTAGCAGAAGGGAGTTACAAACTCAATTTCACTATATAACTTGTTATATTGCGACAAATAAATGTACCTATCTACCAAAGGTCTCGGTGGCATATGGCTCTCTGTTCCAGTGTTTTAGATGTATTTTACTTTTTAACTGCTTTTGCCAACAAATATGTCCGCAAGATCTCATAGAAGCTGTCATATGTCGAAATGGTAATAAAAATAGTAGTAAATAAGGTTAACATCTAAATCACTGTAAAACAAAAGGCAGGGCTGGGTATCTTCTTCATGATGTGTCAGCTATATACAATCAATTCACTGACTTCTTCCCTGTGCATGAGTAAAAAACTTAAAAATGAGTCATAACATTTCTAACCTGTGAGTAACACCTTCTTACAAATATGAAGATGCTGTGATATTTAGAAGTATATTATCAATTAGAAAGATACTGTGTGTGCTTACTCCTTTAATGAGCATGTCATAATGAAGACCGCATCTTATTTATCAATAACTGTCAAGTAGTCAGCGAGGTCTAAGGTCCGTGTTCTGCAATTTCCAATTTTTCAAGTGATTTTCTTTTAGTAATTATTCTTTTCTTCTTTTTTTTTCAGTACTATTTTTCTAGCATATATCGAGCATTTGATTTTGATGTCCGTGTGGATCTTATGAGATAACCAAAAGACTTTGTTTTTTAAAAATGAATTTGCAATCAGATATCTCAACAGTCACTCTTTATAATATGAAAGGTGGGGGTGGTGTGAATGCGTATGCGAGAGAAGAGATTTCTTAATCACACAGCAGGAAGCACGTCCGGCGTTATTGCATCACACTCCCCATTGAGACATGCACAAACACAATAAATGGATGCACGGCTGAGGGAGTCATGGGCGCAGGCACGTTTTGAATACCTGCAGAGCAAGCTCACCTGTCTTGCATCACTCAAACCTCCAGGCAGCCAGTAAAAAGACTTGGTTGCGAGTCACAGTGACGGTGGGAGGGGGGGGTGGGGGGGGATCCTTTCTCAGTATGGGTGGGAAAGTTCAGTTATCCACAGTTCCCTTAAAACAGGCACACACACACACAGTGTAACTAGATAAACAGCTTATTGAGTATGTGGCCTTGCAGCGTTTGAAAAAGCTAAATTGCCGCCTCCACTGTCCCATGTAAACATAATTGAACAG